ACTGAATAGGGGAAGAAATAAAAGATATTAAATATGTCAACTTGTATGCTGAAACCAATGGAGATGTTCCAAAGTTCTGCCTAGCTAGCAAGCTGCTCCTTGGTTAGGAATGACAGAGGAGGTTAACAGTAGCTGTGTTTTTCCTCAACAGTCTCATTCACTGTTCAGGCTTTCTGCTCACTGAGGTCAAAAACAGACTACATCTTCCACAATCCCTGCACTGCTTCGTTCCCATAAGTACCATAACATCATTACATCCAAGCTGGCCAAGTTAGACTGCAGTTGACTACTGAGAGCTGTAAGATTCTGCTAGAAGTATTCTGCTGAAGTCAGGAAAAAAAAAAAAAAACCTCAGTGGTGAGTAAGAGATTGCTGTATAAAACTAGTTACAATGCACGAGATTTCAGTTATGATGCTGATAGAAAAGTTGAAAAGTAAAGTACAAAAGATAAATCTCTCTGGCAACTATCAGATTGGCTTGGCAGTGAAATAAAATCAGCAAATGTTCTTTCTTGTTTACCAGAGCCCTCTATCTTTGTCTGATTCTCCTCATCTTTCCACAATGTAAACTCAAAAGTAAATGTGTTTTGAATAGCTGTCAGCATCAGACATCAACTATTCAAGTTGCTGTCATCACTACTGTTATCAGCAACACTGAATAAGAGATTCCTGCCAAAGATTCCGGCTCTGCTAGCTTCCTCAGTCTCTATGTGCAGGATATACTTGCAGTAAATATTTATGTACTTGGAACTTCCAGTGAAGTTTCAGAATCATGTGCCATCTTCATTTATTAACTCAAAATAAGCAACTTCCACTTCAAGAACCCGAGAAGGAGCAGAAGATGAAGTGGTCTTCCTGGAGGAGTGGTGCCTGTTACTTGTTTCCATCAAATACAAGAGAATTAAACAAAAAATTTACTTTTCAAACATTTAAAATGTTGGCTACCATTTATTTTACCTTACTATCCCTCTAGTCTCTGCTTTAAAACATCCATCCAATTTAAAAGGGAAAACAAAAAAGGAGAGAAAATAGTTCTCTCATTTGCATTCAGAAGATTGAACGGTTTCAGTCTCAGTTCTGGCTATCAAAAGCAGACAGGGAGCGCTAAGGTAAGGTTGCAACCATCTCTACTCCACTCCATCTTCTCTTCTTATAAAAGAGGGGAGAGAAGGTGTACGAAAAACAGTGTATGAATTCTCTTCAGAATAAGGAGGAGAATAAGCTCTAAATATTTATGTGGAATATTACATGTCTTAGTCTCAAAATACAAAGTAGTGACTGAAAACCTGACACCTAAATGCTTTTCTACTCCTCATATTCTGAAATACACAGGAAAACAAAAGCTTCTATTTCCCCAAGAATCAATAATCTGCTAGGCCTCTACAAATAATAATAGAAATCAGTGATATACATATAATTACTGTGCAAACAAAAGTATTTAAACTTCAGAAATAAATAAGCAAAAACATTAAAGAAAGTGGTTGAGATTTTTCCTCTGAACAGATTACCTGCAACCCAAATTCATAAAATCTGCAGTTTCACTTAAAAAAAAAAAAGTATCAATGCTATCCTTTAACAGAGGGAATGTGACAATAACATCTCCAAAAACTTTCCCAGAGCTAAGGAATTTCTTGTGTGGACATCTTCTCCTTTTGATAAGCCAAGAACTGTGTGCAATAAGGGAACTCCATTCCATTTGACCAGTAAAAATTAAGTTCTCATTCAAGTTTTGTCATTTCAGGAAGCCACTCTGCTACATAATATACGTACTCTTCTTCTCACACAACTGGGAGATCAACTTCTCCCTCTTTTCAATTCCCACCTCCATTGGAAAAGCACTTTTGTCTTCCCTTCTGCCACATTGGATCTTGAGGGAGAAATTGTTCTGGTGAACCAAGAATAGAATCATAGAATCACTCAGGATGGAAAAGACCTTAAATATCATCGAGTCCAACCATGACCTAACCATGCTACCCTAACTCTACCAACCCTCTGCTAAATCATATCCCTGAGCACCAAATCCAAATGGTTTTTAAACACATCCAGGGGCGGTGACTCAACCACCTCCACCAACCAATCTGTGCACTAGGACACATCTGCACATAGGAATTGTGACAGATCACAACCAACTATTTATGATAACTGAAGAATAAAGTTCTATAGATATCTCATTTTTGCTTTGAGTTTTACAATTTTTCATTCATAGTTACATATTCATAAAATACTGCTGGCTAAACTTCAGTAAACAATCTTAAGCATGCTTCACCTCCTCATGCACAATCAGCTTTGTTGAGATACACCTTTTCCATTACACACAATGGAAGGGAAAAAGCACATACAGCAATTTGAAAATGGCATGTGCATACCACATGCAATTACTACATGAATCACTTGTCTAAACTACTTCTTTCCTTCAGATCTTCCTTTGTTACTATTTAGATATTTATCCAAGAACTCTGCCAGGATGGCTGCCGGTTTTATTCTGAGATAGCATTATATCTTCTTCCTCTCCACTGTACACATTAACATTTCTGGGAGCAAATCCTTGGGAAATCATCACATCTGCAATCTGGCAGATTTGGATTACCAGTGTAAAATTTTCCTACTGCCCTTCTCTTCAACATTTTGTACATTCACTTCCCCAGTAAGACCAGCAAAGGATGGCAGCATTTTGAACTCTCTTATCCAGAGCAGCGCACCAGTGAACAGCAGTTGAAGAGAGCTGCAATCTCACAAACTCATCTAACTATTGAAGATTTTCTTTATTGCAAAACAAGACTTGATAGGGCTGACTGTTACACATCCATCCGAGATTGCAGTTTAAGTTTTTTATTTTATTTTAATGTTGATTAGGCCTGAACAACCTACCCCAAGAATTCTTCCAGAATACACTGTTGATTTCACTTCATTACTGGTACAAGGAAAACTGAACAAGCATCTAACCCTGATAACTAAGCAGCAAGAAGTCAAGACAGAAATTATTAGAGACTACAAAACTGAATACGGTACTATACAAATGTTTAGTAAGAAGCAAATGTACTTCTAAGCCATCCAGCTAAGAAGAAACATTTCAATGATGAAAAAATCCAGCTGCATGCATTATGTATCTTAATGCTTTTCTTTAGTACAAAAATGCAAACAGGACTAAATTAATTACAGAATGGCTTAAGTTGAAATTGACCTTAAAGCCCACCCTGTTCCAACCCCCTGCCATGGTCAATGCTGTCCCCCACCAGCTCACCTGCCCAGGGCCCCTTTCAACTTTGAGCACCTCCAGGGATGGGGCACCACATCTTATCTGGGCAGCTGTGCCAGCGCCTCAATGTCTTCTGAGTGAAAAAACTTCCTCCTAACATCTAACCTAGATCTCCTCTCTTTTAGCTTACAGCCATTCCTCCTTGTCCTATTATTGTTAGATCAGAAACAAAAACTAAGCTGAACAGCAGTCAGCAGGTCACAGTTATTGCAAAGATTCAACCACCTGATCAGGGGCTACCTTTTACAGCCATTACTGCAGAGAGGAATTTTAAGCACTGAAAAAAGACAGAGATATGACAGGAAGACAGCTTTACAGATACTCAAGAAGGCCATGATGAGTCCAGAGAGGTGCAAGAGATAGCATCAACGTTCTCTGGAAAAAGGGGAAGCGTAGCTAAGCCAACAGACACATCACACAGCAAAACACCACGCAGCACCACGCACAGTATTTCTTATCTCAGGAAACACAAACCAGTTCTGAAGGACTCGTCCAGTGAGGAAGAGCCTGATGCCCTCTCCAGAAGAGCACAAGTGAGCTAAGAACTCAGCACCCGGTCAGTTCTGTGGCTTGCTTCCCTACCAGACCCAGACCTGCAGCTGTGTTATGCAGCATTTCTCACACAACTCATCTCCCCGCTGCAGCAGCGATTTCAAATGTAATAGTTAACCAAGAGCAAAGCCTCTGACGAGATCCCACTGACAGAAGAAAACGACAAACGTTTTAACGGATTCACGCAGCTACTGCCGTCTTAAAAAGATGCATTCAGGCGACTCTGCGGCTCACTCCTACCTCCTGCCATTAGCTTACAGCGCTTACGGCGAGCAGCGTTTTCACCTCTTTCCTGGCCTGGCAAGCAGGAATAGCGCTGCCCACGTCGCGACGCCAGATGAACCTTCTAGAGCGTCGGAAGGCAGCACAACAAAGATGCGGGGTTAGCAGCAGCGCGCCCGGCCCCGCGCACCCCCACGGGTACAGCGGGGGTCCTTGAGGCCCGCCTCCCCTCCCCCCCCAACGGGCCGGCTCACCTATGCCGGGGGCCACGTAGATGAAGTAGAGGCAGGAGGAGGAGAGGGAGAAGAAGAAGATGAACGCGAGCATGGAGCGATTGGAGACGCGCAGCGCCTTCCGGAACAGGGGCATCCTCCCGCCGTCTCAGAGCCGCCCGCTCCCCTCAATCCCGGCGCGCGGCGGCCGCGCTTCCCGCAGGGCGGCGGCGGGCTCCTCCCATGGAGCGGCGGCGGGACGGGGGCGAGGGCTGCGCTCCGCTCCTGCCGCTCCCACCGCCCGGCGGACGGCTCGCGGAGACGAGCAGGCGACGGCCGGAGCGGGAAGGGTCCCCTAGCGCTGCCGCGGAGTTCGGGGGCCGCTCCCGCCGCTAGGCGCCCGCTCTCTCTTCGCAGGCGGCGGCGGCAGCATCCCTGCTGCCGGCGGACAGGCACCTCCGCGCCCGGCCCCTGCAGCCGCTCGGCCCCGCCCCGCCGAGCCCCGGCTACTGCGGCGGTTGGAGCGTGCGCGAGCCGCGGCGGCGACGGACTGCAGAACTGCGGCGGCAAGCGCGCACCCAACGGAGGGAGCCGGGGGGGGGGAAGACTGGCGATGCCGCCGTGTTATTGCTGCTGCTGCTACCGCGGGCCAATGGGAGGGGAGGGAGAAGTGAACCCACCCTCCCGATTGGCTGCCGCGCGGGCTGGCGCTTGTAACGCCCGGGCGGGGGCCGCGAGGGTCCCTGTGTGCGTCACGTGACGGCAGGGCGGGAAGAACCGTTGGGGGCGACGGGGGGGGCTGTGCCCTTCTGTGTGGGTCCTGCCCGACCCCGTGCCGGGGATCCACTCCTCTTCATGCTTTAGTGAGCAGCCTCCGCGGGTTGCTAGGTGACAAGGGGCAGCGCCATTCCTCCCCACAACGCCGCCACTGACTAAGGCGGGTGCCAAGGCGCTGGCGGGCAGCCGGAACAGCAGCGGAGTCGGATTGCATAAGCATCCAGTTCTGCTGCTGGAAGGTGTTCGGCTCCGTCAGGTGTAAGGTGAGGAGAATGGAAACACAGAATTGCTGCCCAGTGTTGCTAGATGTTGAAATTAGACGTTTCTCTCTACAGTAGAATGCAGTACACACTATCAATCTATAACCACTGAGGAGTTTCGTGATTGACACTTTAGTGAGCAGCAGAGATACAGGGATTTCCTAATAATTGTTTCCATGAGAGAGAGAATTCTGCTCTGCCTGTTCCGGGACAGCTCTTGTACTAATAGTACAATCACTGAATCATTAAGGTTGGAAAAGATTACTAAGTTCCCCTAGTCCAACCATCAGCCACCCCCACCATGCCCACTAACCACATCCTTCAGTGTCACATCCACACGGTTTGTGAACACCTGCAGGGACAGTGACTGCACCACCTCCCTGGGCAGCCTGTGCCACTGCCTCACTGCTCTTTCTGAGGAGAAATTTCTCCTAATATCCAACTGGAACATCCCTAGTACAACTCGAGGCCATTCCCTCTCATCAGTCCCCTGGGAGAAGATGTTGACGCCCCACCTCACCACAACCTCCTTTCAGGGGGCTGTAAAGAGTGATACATCTCCTCTGAGCTACCTCTTCTCCAGATTGAGCAATCCCAGCTCCCTCAGCCTCACCCTATCAGGCTTGTCCTCCAGACCCCTCATAGCTCTATTCCCCTTCTATGGATGCACTCCAGGGCCACAATGTCTTTCCTGTTGTGAGGGGTCCAAAAACTGAACACAGTATTCAAGGCATGTCCTCACCGATGTTAAGTATAGAGGGACAACCAGCTCTGGCTACACTAGTTATGATACAAGCCATAATTTGATGAATGTTGTTGCAATGCTTATCAGATAGATGGACAGATTGAGTGATTCATTTTGTCTGAAATGCCTGTAGCAGCTAGGCAACTTGATTTATGTCATTTGTTTTATTAAGCGGAGTATAAAATACAACACTGAGCTAATTTATACATACACAGTTTAAATTTGAAGCTTCAGATGCATATACAGAGGACCCACATAGAAATGAACTTGATTTCATGAAGCAAAAATGTACAAATATACTGTATCCTTATGTCTTGTTACTATCTCACATTGAAGTAGAATTTGCCGTGCTTCTCTCATATTTCACTTTCATTAATGTTTTTTATATTGGTTTGGATTTTTTTCTGTACAGAAGGCCATTAGAATATCAATACAATGGCAACTTGAAGAATCCAGAATCTTGTCAGAGACAAGAGTGAGATTCATAGTACTTGGTATCTTAAGATTAGCCCAAACTTTCAGGAACTATATTAAGTGGTAATATACAGATCACTGGCTGTGTATAACTAAAAGCAAGCGTCAAATCTTCAGCTCAGCAGTATTAATTTTGTTTTAACTGTATAGACTGCTGGGTGCACTTTTGCAAGATTTTAAACGCTACTGTGATGAGCACAAGAAAACCTGTGGAATAATACCTTAAGGAAATAGAGACATATGTGGAAGAACATAAAAATGGAATTTTGGGAGATAGATGTATCATGTTAAATTGAATCTCCTGCAGCAACCTGCAGCATGACTCACACACAGTTGAGATAGATGATTAGTCCAAGCACCTGCTCTGAAAACATTCTTAAAACACTCTCCATCTTCTTTAAATATTTCTTTCTTCAGTAACAAGCTTACTCTACAATAAATAGACCACTTCTTTGAATAAGTCACATTACTGGGATGTACTTATAGTAAGAAGGGGAAATTCAATTGAGTGTATATTGCTCTTTACCATATTTCATCTTGCAATTGAATCTGCACAGAAAAGTCCTTCATTTAAATTACTCTGGAAAAGATATTTTAAAAGAAACTTTCTCATTCCCCATTTTCAGTCTTATCATCTAACAGTGAATTTTCAGTGAATTGGAAAATATGAAATCAAATAAGATTTCACTAGAGTAACAACTGAAAACAAAACAAAACAAAACAAAGTCTTCAAAGCCATAGTAATCAAAATCTTCTTCAACACTTCTATTCCAAAATGTTATAGTAACTGGTTTTATCCAGTTCAGTAAATATTATGCAAAGTACATGAGTGGAACTAAACTAATCAATACCTGCATGGCAGAATGGACTCACACTATTTTTATTTTTTTTTTTTTTACCAAAAGTTATCAGTGTTCAGTACATGAGTGAAAATAAACTAATCAATACCTGCATGACAGAATGGACTCACACTATCACCAAAAGTTATCAGTGTTCAGTTATCTTGGAAAAAACATCCTGTACATCAGGTATTTCAGCTCCTTTCTTTAGAGAAGGGTACAAAGTACCTACAGAAGTCAAGCACAAAACCACTGCTAACAATAAAAATTAGACTCACTTTACATGTTAAAGCTAACATCTTTTTCAGTCTTTGGAGATATGAGCTCTTAAACTTTTTTTGCTCTAATTGATCAGCAGAATGAGGCCAAACACAACAAGTTTTATTAGGTGGGTTGGAAATTGCTGTGTGCTACTCGGACGTGGAATCTATTTCAGTGACAACCACAAACTGTTGTGGCTTTATAATGGTGGACATAGGGTACTGTGAGACAGCAGGCAGAAAGAAATACCAGAAAACACTGAGTTTAGCAAAATAATCTTAAACAGCTTTCCAACTAAGTATGAAACCTGCTCCTGACACAAATATCATGGATCTCTGTCAGTATTTCTGCTATTTGAAGAAAAAGAAGGTGCTATTGTGCTTAAATCATTTGTTAGAGTTAGGAATTACAACAGTACATGTACAAGTGTGCTGTCCATGTAGCATGCAGTTCTACATTCAGCAGCACTAATTTAAAATCTTTTTGTTTGTTTGTTTGTTTGTCTGTTTTTCTCCTGGTCATTTACTAATATATGTTCATGTTATTTCTTACTGCCTTTCTTTGAATGAACTATATTCCCATCATTAACTCTTAACTAGCTATTTCCATTTTTCAATATAAATGTCTTTAGATTGTCTCTCCACTCCGATACAAGTTCCTAATTTGTCTTTCAACTGCCTGTTTCCTTCTCCTATATTTTACTGAGACAGAAATACTGCATGACTGTCACATCTTTTCTTGTTGTTTATCTGTTTAAAACACTTCTTATCAACAACAGAGTAGTAAAGGAGTACATAAATCTTGCAGCTTTTGCATTCTGTCTGCCTTGTTTCTGCAGTTTTAGCCATTTTTACCAACATGATTGTCTCTTCCTTAAACACAGCTTTTAAAATCTAATGATCATATTTATTTGACTTCTAGTGACTGATACTTTATCTTCATTTTCAGTGAGGCCAGTCCAACTGACTGACGCAGGCTATAGTTAATCACCTGTCAACATGAACAGTGCTTTCACACAAGTTTGCAAGATCCCTCTTCCACTCAACAAATATTCCCCAAACTTTAGCTTTGTTCCTTGCCTTTTCTATATTTGTGAACTGCAGCAATAAAAACTGATAAATGAGTATAGTGTGGTTTTATTATTAATATGACACGTAGCAGGAGAATAGTTACTTTGTTAGTACCTCTGTTGTTTTTTTGCTATTTATTTTCTTAGACATAGCAGCTTGATGTATTTTTAAATGAAATTTTGTTCAGTAGGGCAGTAGCATTTCAAAATTTCATGGTACAATTGCTATGTAATCCTTGTTGCACAGTCAAACAATTAAAATGCCTTGAGTAAAAATCTCAGAGTAAGAAGCACAAGAACCTGTCTGAGAGTTTCAAGAAACTTCAGTTTGTGTGAGGTTAGGGTAATTCAGATTTTTAAGGATTAATTCATACCTGACAAGGAAAGTTAACATCTCTCTTTGTGGCATACAAACACATCAGGCTCATGCCAAAACACACTGAGAACTAGAGTAATGTCTAGAGATTGGGCTCATGTGCACTAACCTCATTACATCAGTTGTAATCCCATTATTAAATCAAATGTCAATTTGCAACTATAAAGAGAATGTGTTGGAATTTTTCTGGTAATATAACTTTGGTCATAAAACTTATTTTTTACTAATTTTCATCTCTGAGAACTCTACTCAAAAATTTGTTTGCATGTTGTAGTTGATACCATAGGAAAGTATTACTCAGCAAGAACTTATGCACATGCACTCTCTCACAAACATAATTTAAAAAAAATGAGACATAATGTATCTTTTATTTCCTTCATTTCTGTTATCTACACTTATGGTAACAGATAGCAATAGAGTTCATATTCCACTCATATTCTATTTTTCTAGTTGATATTGCTTTTTTGCTTTTAAGTAGACCCAGATGCCATTTCTTATAAAAAGCCTCCGTGACAAGCTTAGTAAAGAGTATGAAAGGCAATTCTTTCTAATGCTATTCATTTTGAGTCTGCAAATCACCACCTTTTTCCTTTGTAGAGCTATCCCACGCAGCTCCTTACACAACCTCACACAAAAGTGACATGAAAGCTTAGTTTTCGTGAAGGGTTTCACTCTAGGGTCTCATGTTGTTTTAACATTGCAGGTAATGCAAACTAAAGATATTTCTCTCAGTAATAGTTAAGAATAAGGTGGGGGGAGGGGGGGGGACGGAGGGGGGAAACCCACAGATTTTGGAGCATGAGGTTGCTTTTGAAATATTAGTGAAAAAAATCATAAAGTGATATTATTAAAATAATGTCACGGTGTTATCTCTAGGACAGTCTGTGTCCATGATAGGGGGACAATGGGCCAACAGGCCCCAAAAGGGGGGAGGTGGAATTGGGGGAAGGGGAGGAAGAAGCAGAAAGGGAACAAAGAGGAGGAAAAAACAAAAACAGTGGCAACAATCTGAGGAAGAAAGTTAATTTACTAATTAATAGAAGAAATACAAATTAATTGGGATTGAAGCTAATAAAACAAATAAATGGGAGCAAGATGTTAAAATCAAAGGCCTCACTCTAATGTTGAAGGTGAGACAGTCAGGGACAGGGAGCACATACTTCTTAGGTATTGACCAACCAGATGACTTCTCCCAAACGCTTCTCTCAGTGCTTAAATGTTCCACCACGCATTGCTTTC